GCAGAGAAAATAAGAAACAATTTATATGGTAGATCTAAAGTTTCATTAAAATTGCTTATGCCCTGTCCCAGGCATTTTAAGTGGGCCATCTGTCTAAACATCTCTCCATTTTTTTCTGATCATTTCCTCAACTTATTCATGAGCCATGGGAGGGCTCCTTTGTAGTCTCCATGTAGCTGGTTCAGTCTACCCCCACTGAATACATCTATGTGCTTGCATAACATATCTTTTCACAGTGCTGGAAATTCTCTGAACTTGGTTCAGATGAATGGCCCACTTTCTGAAGGTCTTTTTTTCTCCCCCTGCAAAGATTTGTATGCAGAAACTGACCTTGGTGGCTACAGAATCCAGCACATTATTCTTGATCATTTTACAGGCCACCTGCTGTGAAAGTTATGATGAAGGATTTCTTAATGATTCTTTGACCATTAACATTGTTTTAAGTCAATATTTCACTTTTATATAACTGCTGAATAGGTAATTGCACAATTGAAAAACAGCTTTACCCAGTATCATATAATGTAGTTTTCAAACGGTTATAATCTTTCATAATGGGCGAATTTGTTACGATAGTTTGGGATTTCTCTGTGTTTACATAAAGTATTATGCAGCAAAAATACCAGAAGAGAATTTGTAAGGTTTTTCCCCTCAGTGTCAGAACTAGTATTTTGAATTGGAAGTAAAAAAATCTATACTCAATTTCCTGACACTTTAGGAGCTGGTGACATTTATCATAGCTCATTACATCATCAACAGTAATTGGGAGAGGGGAGTTTATTTGCCACAAACTGCAGAAAATTGTAGTTATATTGAGTTCCTTCTACCTGATTGGTTGATGACCATCAAAATAGTCGGGCTGGGGCAGAGTTATTACTTGACGTGCTTTTGTGAATGTCTGCTTTCCTTCGTTGTTTGTTTTTGACTAGAATAGATAATAGTTTAACTAGTGTCTGTTTTCTGTGAGCGCAGTAAGTATGTGTCGATCTAAAATTTTTAGCAGTTGTCTGCTTTCCTCCCTGAAAACTTGTAAAGAAAGCAGGGGCTGTAATTGCTGCAATATTATGAAGTATCTCCTTCCCTCCCTCCCTCTCTGTCTCTCATGGCAGTTGGGGGTAAAAGGGACATAATACACTGTGCAGTGTATGAAATAAATTATGTGACCACGACATCATCTGTAGTTGAACAAACAGCATCAGAGGTTGAAAATAAATAACCAAGCAGGCAAGCACTGCTGGTTTTTCTTCTCACACCACTTACATGTTTTTATAACTTCAACACTTTAACGTAATGCCTTTGTGACTTAGAGCCAGGCCATCACCCTACTCTTCATCTGTGCCCTATTGCTCATGATACTTCCTTTTCAAAGTCAATATGGAGTAGAGAGGTTCAGAACTGCCCATTTCTGTATGGAAGGCATTAATAACATTCTTTTCCACCCACCTCCTGTCTTTGTGGCCATGGTGCTGCCTTTGCTTTCTCCTTCTTTTGTGTGTAATGATCTTGGCAAAGGACAGCAGTGCACAGTTCTCTGTGGCCCCACTTCCCATTCACCTTACACTCATCTTGCTGCTAAAATTGTGTTTCTTCCTGCAGCCAGTGATCTTTATATGTAAATAAAGTAATTTTTTTTCATGTTACGTTGATTGCCAAAATTGTAAGAAGAAAGGGAGGGCATGTTACACCCCATGGAAAACATACTGTGTGGATTTAGATTAGTTACTGAGAGGAAGTTCTTTACTTGTAAGGGTGGTGAAACACTGGCACAGGTTACTCAGAGAAGCTGTGGGTGCCTGTCTCTGGCAGTGTTCAAAGTCGGGTTGCATGGCTTTGAGCAGCCTGGTCTGGTGGAAGGAGTCTCTTCCCATGGCAGGGAACTGGGTGAGCTTTAAGGTCCCTTCCAACCCAAACCATTCTGAGATTCTGAATCTAAGGCTGGAGGGGAAGTGCCATAAGATTTTGTCTTTTATGATGGCAAAAATGATGCTATTTTTTCCTTCAGTATTTTTTTTCCCCTGTAAATAGAATAAGTCAGATTTCAGCCCAGTATGTAGAATTTTAGAAGTTTTTTGAAACTGACCAGAAGTTTGGGGAGTTTTCCATGAACAAGTGGAAAATACATTCGAAAGTCCAGATGTTTTCCCTTTGGAGGACTTAGATCTGAGTTCTCAGCTAAGGAAGCATCCTTGGCCAAGAACAAAGAGATTATTTCCCATGCACTGGGGCTTCTCAGACAATAAAAAAAAAAAAACAAACCCCACCAAAAGATCCCTTTTTTAGGCTGATAGAAAATCCTGCATTTCTAAAGTAGTTCACAGACTTGAGCAGCTTCCTTTCCATATCCAAGAAACTTGGACTTAGATGCTCAATTCTGGGCTTTGTGATCCTTACCAATATGAACCACACACCCCCCTCCCCCCTCCCTGAATCCCATCAGGGTTGTATCTACTACAAGGTAATTTATTTGAAAGGAATTTGATTTAATGAAGAAAAAGTAGGATTCTCATGGTCTAGTGTAAATGTCTGTTTTAGCCAGTGTAACTGTAGGTTACAGTTGCAAAGCCACAAGCATTTGATTAGCGGAGGTCAAAAATGTCTTTGTGCAAATGGATCTAGGAGTTTCAGGAGGGAAGTACAACTTGCTACGTGCTTGGTATTAGATGGAGCTCTGGACCTTGCCCTCCTGGCCACCAGTGTTGCAGAGAGGGGAATTATGTGCCTGTGGGGCTGTTTGAAAGCCAGGCAAAGCAGTGATCATAGTCATGCCTTTCAAGAGGTGTGCATCCTGTTTGGAGATACACTTGACAAAGCTCAGCAAGACAAGACCGAACAAAAATAATCCCTGCTGGAGAACAAGACTGTCTTTCCTTTGATGGCCAATGGCCAGATTCATGAGGTCACTTCCAGTCGAATGCAGTATGACGCAGGGCTGTGCCAGCAAGCTTATAAGGAATCTCATGCCACCAGTGAAGTGGATCTACTAAGCTGTGTTTGAGATGAGGTCTTACCTTGTACAAGAAATGCTGTAACTATGAAGTTGCTATGAACCACTAAATCCCATTGGCTATTACAGTGGAGTACCATAGAGAGTATAGCCAGGCTCTGCCAAACCCCTGCTACATTCCTCCTTCCTGGTGCTCTGATACCAGGAAGTGCAATGAAAACATCTCTCAGTTTGCTGCCTGCTACCTGTGCAGGAAATTCCTGTTCCTATTCTTCAGGAACTCTTGTGTCTGTCACATTTCCTATCGGCCAGTCTAAATGTTTTGGTGACATACAGGAATTTCAAGACAAGGTGCTGAGAAATGTCATTGCACCCAATAAGTAATAGATATTTCCTCAGATTTGTTGTTTTGACAGTTGTGGCTGTATATTAAATGTGACAGGTAACACTTAGCATCTTTACTGTGGGAGCTGGTTATTTTCAGTATCTGTTTACATGAATTCCATGGGTCGTGATACTTAGAGGTGTGTTAAAATGTTTGCTGGCGTAAGCCTTACTTGCCTTGGATCCAGAAGTAACAAATGATAAGCATGCATCTGTTTGTCTTTATTTATTAAATATATTTAGTGTTCCCATTTCTCCTTTTCAGGCACGTTGCAAGGCACAATTTTTAGACACTATCTGCCTAGTTAGGTACCCGTTAGGTACTTGCTTAGATTTCAGGTGCTTAAAAACTCAACCTTCTTAAAATGATTGTTGAAATACTTAGCAATTCAGTGTGTTATCTTTGGCTTAGGCAGGTAATTTTGCCTCCTGTGGCCTCTGGAGGAAAAGGCCTTCTCCCTGTTGATTCCGCAGGGAACCCGAGCACTTCCTATGGGGAGATGTGGTTCATTGGGCATCTGAATCCTCAGGAGGATGCATGTGACATATCACAGAAATACATGTTCCCAAGTTTTTAGACTCTGAAGCTGCAGTAAAATGTAGTAAGCTCTATAATGTACTATAGATCAACATTATAGCAGAAATTACCCTTAGAAGAGGCCTAAAGGTGATGAATTTATGTCTGTTTCTTACAAAGAGTCTAAATGTGTGTGTCAGGGTGGAAGAAAAGCTATTCCAAAATAATGTGTCTTTGTTTTAGGGGGGTTTAAACTCCACATTCATACCTTCTCTTTAGGCTACATGGTGCCTGTGGATGCTAATATCCGGCATCCACTCATCAGAAAAATTGTAGGATACCTTCAAACACCAGTTGTTACAACAAAGTGGAAGAGACTTGAAAAGTTAGGCTGAGGAAACTGAAACTGAGTATACATTTAAGTAAAATAGCTGCAAATTTCTTGTTTCATTCTGAACTTCCAAGAATGGAGACTCAGGTCTCATTCATTTGCTGTCAGGTGTGCTTCTTTAAGCTGAAGTTTAAAAGATTTGGGTTTCTTCTGTAACTGGATAACTGGTGCAGCCACGGAATGCTGCCGGAATAGGCATAATCCTGCATGTGGACTGTGATGATATATCATTATTTTTTTCAGTTTGCCTGAGCAGCTCTGTGGATGAGATACTCTAAAGTGTATATTAATTACAAAATTACTTGCATTACTGTTTGGCTGAATCTTTTGTCTGTAATTGGGCTTTAATTAAGGTTTACTGAGAATCAGATGAAAGAAATAGTGATTATATTTTGCCCTTAAAAAGGCTGCTCCAGCTATCACTGTTGCTATTCTGCCAACCCACTTTCTCATCTGCTTTTCATCTGTTTGAGCTAATTCTGCAGCAAGCGCTGGCTGTATTCAAGAGCCTCCTATAACTTTATCAGTGTACCCAGTGTGTCAAGGCAAATCTAGAAAGAAAGCAGAGTGTATTTTCTCCTTATATGCCATTTGACAGAAAAATGTATTTAGGATTTTTTTTTTCAAGTATGCTCTCCAACTGTGTCTATAGATTAATGATATTTTATATCCTTCATGACCATCCTGTGAGGCAGGCGCTTCTGGTTAAAATGGGAGAAGCATGAAATCTCTGTTAAAAATTCTTCTTCTGTGTGTTTCTTTTTTAGAATTCCTATTGCCAAATCAAAGAGAAGTAGCTGGGAGCTTTCTGTGCGTCTAGGAGATGGAATTTACCCAGCTGCAGTTTCAAAGGATGGCTCATCATTTTCTGTAAGTTCTGCCCATTTTTTAAGCAATTCAATGTATTGAGTCAATATGCATTATTCTTGACACCTACTAAAATTCTCTGTCTGTTCAGTGACTATAGACGTTTATTATGTCTTTAGCAGGCATTGCTGTGAATTACAAAACAAGACTTTGTTAATTAAATAGTGCTAGTGTACAAAGATTTTCCTCTGCTCATGCTTGTGGATAATTTTTTCATCTACTTGTTTATTAAATTAGTTTTCTAATTAATGACCCTGTTTAGTGTCTTGTATAGAAGTATGGTCTTATGCTCTTACGCTACATGGATGAGAGCAAGAAAATCAGTGCAATGTCAACAAAAGTTAGATTAGCTTAAGTTAGTGATTAGAAAAAAAACAAACAAAGAACCAAGCATGTTGGATGCGTAATTGTACTGGGATGGAATTATTCAGTGCTTCGGTAAAACCATATGTGGTCATAGTAAAATGCCAGGGTTTCAAGATGTGCCTAGGTCACTTTGGTTGAATGTGTATAAACAGTTGTTTTTACAAATATTCTAATTACTTAAGTGCTTAACCTTTTCCATGTGAAAGGCAGAAAGGCAGACCATTGCAGTAGAACACTAATGCTGTGTTAAGTAATTCAGCTGTTCAGCAGGATAAAGCCAAGACACAAGCTGGTTGGACTGGAGAATTGAGAAGGTAGATTTATAGAGAGAACTACTTTTTAAGTCTGTTAATGGTCGTTCCACAGTCAAATTGAGCTTCTTCTTTTTATTGTTTTATTTATTTATATATTTAAATAGATGGTTGACTTGCACAGTTTCTGTTGACTCTTAGGCAAAGGTTTATGAAAGGGTCTAAAGAGGTCAGTTTTTTTTTGAATCACTGAAAAACAGGACTATGAGGAATCCCAGAAGTCCTCTAGTTTATCACTGCAGCTGTTTTCAGTGAAGATACGCAAGAAGAGTAGAAACTTCTGCAGCATCTGCTCCATGATATTTTTTACAGTCATGATGTTCACACCTATGTTGCATTCAGAATCCTGAGATTTCTTTGAAAATGGACATTTAAAATAATATCTCATATAGTGAAGACAGTATTGTCTCAGTGATTCACTTTTGCTCTACTGGAATGTCAAGGTAAGCTGTATGACTTAGTTGAAACTGGTCATCTTTTTAAATGACTGTTTTCACTGACATGAATTGAGGTAATGAAAACCTAGCACTTTTAAATTTTTTTATTTTTATTTTTCTTGCCTAACTGGGGCAACAAGATGCTTAATCAACATCATTTCTAATATTACCTTTAACCCCGTCACACTGTATTCTGCACACATTCACAATGAATGTGAGAGTATGAATAGAAAGTAGGGATGCTTTCTGTTCCATGTGGATCATAGGTGCACTGTAAAAAGGATATGGAGGAAATCAGTCATTGTGGTCAGCACATTTAAAAATTTTCTCTTGCAAGTGTACTTCTTCAAATGTGAAAGGAAGTGGTCAGTTGTATTTCTTAAAGAATTGAAGGAGGTCATGAACAACTATTTTCTCAGTATCTAATTTATTGTGTTGTTGCTTCATGGTAGTGATATGTTACTCATGGACTGGTGCTTCAGGGATGAAGGCCATGTCTGCATGCGGTTTTTTACTGAATTAAACTTACGTAATGGCCCTAACAGGCATCCTGTGAACTGAGATACAACCCAGTGCTCAAGCCGTAAAACACTTCTGTCAGATTTCAGACCAGTTTGGAGTTGGACTAGCACTGGTTTGTGTGACAGGCATAGCTCTTTCCAGGAGCAGGCATTGCCTCCAGCCTTTCCACCTTTTTGTTGCAACATCACTACTAAGAGTGGTCAGCCTGTAGCTGCCTGCTGCTGCAGTGGGAAGGACACAGAGTGGCTGGTAGTGGCTGTGGGTGTTGCACATGCCCTTTCTGCTGTGAGCTCAGAGATCTAATTCCCATAGCTGGACCTCCCCAAACTAGGAGTTTCATTTAGCACAACTAATTACACAAGCATGTTTTGTGCACACATGTTTTTTTTGAGAGATTCACTTCAGTTTCATTATCTAGGCTCTAAGCATCCTTTTATGCTTTGTCAGCTGTGAAGGTAACTGAACATACAATCACATACATGAGTCAGTCCTAGATGCCATGTGCAGCTGATTTGTAAACTGCACTGTTTCTCCAGGAGGTACTGGCTCTGATAATGAAATGCTATTGCTGCTAGTTTATCATTTTAACGTACAGAAAATCATTCTCACCTATACCACAGTCCAAATGTGCATCTTAGTTTAAATGGAACTGCTAAACAATTCTGATGGCTTGTATGAGCACTGCAGATAGTATAGGTCCTGTTTAACAAGGCATATATGGAGTCCGATTTCTGGTCCTGTGGTTTGTTATTCAACAGTAATGAATGTGGAGGATCCTGCTAATGTCCTTGCATCCCTGTAGTATGATGCTGTTATTACCGAAGGCGGCAGAAGTACCCCTGGAGAGCTGAGCACACTCAGTGTCATGGATGAAGGGGTGCATAAGCAATAGGGAGGAAGTAGGGGCATCGGGTAGGGTACGTCTGCATGCCCTTAAAGTTGGGCCAGAGGGATTGGCGACAGCAGCTTTTGCATTCTGATTCTACCCTAACCATCGGAGAGAGATAATTCCTCATTTACCTGCCTCTGGAAAATTCCTTAGCTGGTGAAACAAGTCACAGAAGGTGGATTTCACTGTAACCAGAGGTCTAACTCACTTAAACCTTAAAGTACAGTGTATTAAAATTGACTCCAGGGGTTGGGTTTGCAAAAAGCAGATATCTGGTTTTTGAATTCCAGGGTTGTTAACTTATTTTTCATTGTTACTGGATAAGTAGCAGAAGACATGTTATTCTTTAGTAATAATTTTCATTTTGCTGGGGTTCTCCTGTGACTGTGCTACAGACAGAGAATATAATAAAAACAACACAATCAGAAATCTTCTCAATTATTATTCAAAGCTTTATAATGGAAAAAACAATTGCCTTAAAACTTCAAAGAAGAAAAGCCATAGACTAGGATCAAGAAATCTTGTTTCTGATCAGGAGGTATAACATACCATCAGAAAAAAAAAAAGGAAAGAAAAGAAAAAGGGGAAATCCAAAGCTTTCTTTATGAACTTTGCTGTCAGAAACACAAGCCTCACTTTTTGAACTCCTGCGTTTGGTTTTTGCTCTTAAGTTGGTGTGACATGGGCTCCTGACTTTGTGGGTTGTGTCCCCTTGTGGCTTATGACAAAGATAGCTAAATCTGTGGTGCAGTTAGATAGCCCAGTGGGAGGGCCACCTTCACATTCCCCTTCAGAAGTTTACTCCAGCTGCAAACTGTGCATTGCAGCAGCAGTGTTCGCATCCTGATTTACTTTGTTTACCACTGGGACTCTTCCAACAGTGACTCCTTTCTTTTTTTCCGTAACTCTTTCACTCTTGCCAGCCGAAACCTCCCCACCTCACAGTATGCAGTGCTCTGCTCTCTGTGCAGGGAGTGTGAGCAGCAGGCTGCTCTGTGGTTCCTGCTGTTTGCAAGCAGATCATTCGTCAGCATCTCGATCTATGGGTCATCTGTGGTTTTCTTCGTTTATCATGAGAATCTTAATGAATTGTGCAGTGTTAACTGCTCTTTGCTGCTCTTTATTATTCAGGATTTTTGAGTTTTGTAACCATCTGGTTTTGACCATTTTATTTGTAACAGAGGTCCTCGATGCAAGCTGGCTTTGAGCCACTTTGGAGGCCTTGCTTCCCCAAACTGAGGAATTAAAAAGGTAAATGCAAACAAAAACAGTACAAACAAAAATTTGTTTCCAATAGAGGCTGAAAACTTTTTGTCAATTCTAGTTTGATATTTTTTTTCTTTTAAAATAGAAGTAGCTCTGTCATCATTCTGAGGCAAGCTACATATATGCTAATGCTTCATTTTGCATAAAATCAGTATACTGGAATTTTCCTCACCAGGCAGTTGTTTCTGGTGATACAACAAACACTTTTGCAATTTAAAAACTCTAATGACCTGACTGGAGAATTAAAATCTAGCAACTTTGTTGAGATCTGCTTGCTTGTGTAATGAGAACTAGCCAAATAAATTCATGTGAATGTCACATACTCTTTTTTCTTTGTTCTTTGTCCTATATATGAATTATTAGAAAAATCTTTAAGCTGCTTGTTCTATATATCCATTTAGTTCTTTGGAGGACAGATAATCAGATTCTGGGCTTTGATTAGTATTCTTATGATGAAAATTTTTCCTTTCATCAATGGAGATCTATCAATCAAGATTATGGCTAAAACAGAATTTGAAGGAAGAATAGTTTACATGAGACTAATGTAGAAGAGCAACAAACGGCTCAGAAGCATCCCATCACCAAACTAGAATCTTTTGTTTAGTTCAATTTCAGACAGGAATCTTCATCCTACCGTTTTTGATTGCTAATCTGGCTATGAGGTTTGTTTGTTTTATGATTTTCATTGATAAAAAGACTTGATCTGGTTTTGCTGGTGAAGGTTGGAGTCTCTTTTTTCTTTATAAAGCTTGAGTGTTGTCCAGAGTACCGAAGAGTGGCAAGACAAAAGCAAATGGGAGCCTACATATATTGAGTAAATCTGGTAGCTGTGTGGTTTCCCTGCACTGTACTAAGTTGACTCTTCAAAGCCAGATGTCAGCCACCAATGAGGTGTGGGATCAGAGTATGGTGGCTTTGTTGCCTCTTTGCAGACTTTGGTGACTAAGGAGCTGCTCACAGCCAGAGTGGAGTCCCTTTGCTAATGGTATGCTGGGTGGGAGCTGCCCTCCCCATTGTGAGCAGCTCCTTAGTCACCAGTGTGTATCAGACTTCAGTGTCATGGACAGCCATGAGCCCACCTTCTCCAATGTGGATGGATTTCATGTAGGTAATATGCTTAAAATGTAGAATGAAAATAATAGCAAAGAAGGTAAGTGGCCTAAGAAAGGGGTAACATAAATACATTGGAGCAGGTATCCAGTAGTAAAGTTC